CCGGCCAGGGATGCGATCACACCAGCAGCAGGAAAGGGTCAGGCAAATGAGAGATTGCCTACAGAAATCACTTACTTTTTTTCTCCCCACCCCAATAGAAAAGAAACAGCAGGCAAAGAGAAATAGTTAACGTATAAAGATCTACTAATATAGAAAGACAGAGAACTTAAGACGAAATCAAGAGAACAATTGTCTGCAGAAGGATTTCATTTTCAACGGTTTTCATATGCACAATTAAGAGAAATATTTAATATAGATAAGATAATGGGAACTGAACAACATAAAATAGAATTTGAAAATGAATTGTGTACAAATCATACAATTGCAAAAATGTATAAACTTTTATTGAGATTTGAAACAGAAGAGGAACAAGTTAAGGATAAAAAATGGAAAGAGGGGCTTGAGCAGAATACCAGCAAATAGCCTGAATCTCCAAGGACAGAGTCAGGAAGGCTAACGCTCAGAATGAGCTGAGACTTGCAACAAATGCCAAAAATAACAAAAAATTTCTTTTGATATACAAGAAGCAAAAGGAAAGTCAAGGAAATGGTTGGTCCACTAGTGGGAGAAGATGGTAAGAAGGTGATGGGTAGCAGGGGGAAGGCGGAACTGCTTAATTCCGTTTTTGCATCTGTCTTTACGCATAAGGAAAAAATAGTCCAGCTTGTCAAAATCAGCACCATGGGAGACAGAAGAGGAATGCAGGTCAAAATAGGTAAGGAATTGGTTAGAGAACACCTAGCTGCTCTGAACGAGTTCAAGTCTCCTGGACCAGATGGTTTACACTCCAGGGTATTGAAGGAGCTAGTAGATGTGATCTCAGAACCACTGAATGAAGTCGTTGAGAGCTCCTGGAGGACTCTCAAAGGAGAGACTCAGAGGACTGGAAAAGAGCTGATGTGGTTCCAGTCTTTAAAAAGGGGGGGAAAGTGGATCCAGGAAACTACAGACCACGCAGCTTGACATCAATACCTGGGAAAATCCTGGAAAAGGTAATCAAGCAGCAGGTTTATGCTAGAAATGAACAAGGTGATTACTAGATGCCAGCATGGGTGTGTTAAGAACAGGTCACCCCAAACAAATCTTATTGTCTTCTTTGATAAAGTGACTAAATTAGTGAACCAAGGAAATGCTATGGATATAGTATACTTAGATTTTAGTAAGGCATTCGATAAAGTAGACCACAGCCTACTTCTTGGTAAGGTAGAACAATGTGGGATAGACAGTACCACTACCAGATGGATTTGCAGTTGGCTGACCAACCACACTCACCATGTGGTCCTCAGTGGAGTTACATCTATGTGGAGGGAAGTATGCGGCGGGGTACCTCAAGGTTCTGTCTTGGGCCCAGTGCTCTTCAACATCTTCATAAATGACCTAGATGAGGGGATTGAAGGGGCACTCATCAGGTTTGCTGATGACACAAAGCCGGGGGGAATTATTAACACTTCAGAAGATAGATTCAAGATTCAGACTTGACAGACTTGAGCATTGGGCCCTAACCAACAAGATGCAGTTCAGTGGAGAGAAAAGTCAGGTCCTGCACTTAGGCAGGAAAAACCTGATGCACAGGTACAGGATAGGCAGCTCCTGGCTCAACAGCAGTGCCTATGAGAGGGATCTTGGTGTCCTGCTGGCCCACCGCTTAAGGATGAGTCAGCAATGTGCTGCAGCTGCCAAAAAAGCCAATGCAGTCCTGGGCTGCATCACAGAGGGATAGTATCGAGATCAAGGGAAGTGATAGTACCGCTCTACACCACACTGGCAAGGCCACATTTGGAATACTGTGTCCAGTTCTGGTCCCCACAATACAAAAAAGATGCTGAGGCCCTAGAAAGAGTGCAGAGAAGAGCAACAAAGATGATAAGGGGTCTAGAGGCTATATTCTATGAAGAATGGCTAAAGGTATGCTTAGCTTAACGAAGAGAAGACTGAGGGGAGACACAATCGCCGTCTCCCAATACTTGAAGGGCTGCCATAGGGAAGCGGGCGTCGATTGGTTCTCCTTGGCACCTGAGGGTAGGACAAGAAGCAATGGGTGGAAGCTCATCAGAGGGAGATCCGACCTGGAAATAAGGAGGAATCTCCTGACAGTGAGAACGATTAAGCAGTGGAACAGCCTGCCTCTCGGAGTTGTGGGTGCTCCATCGCTGGAGGTTTTCAAGAAAAAATTGGACAACCATTTGTCCAAGATGGTCTGAGGACTCCTGCCTTGGGTAGGGAGCTGGACTAGAAGACCTCCAAGGTCCCTTCCAAAC